TACAAACCAGCACTGCTGAAAAATTCTTCCAGTGGAACACAACCTTTATCAAGAGCTGTGGGCAACCGATAGCAGAGCTCTATTGTCCTGATAGGGTTGATTTTCAAAACTAATTAGATTTAGACACTGGGTTTGGAAAGGGGAGAGAAGTATTAGCATAGTCATGCCCAGTGGGACGTGGCACAAATATTTCCTTAATTGAGGCTGCTAATAAACATACTTATCTTCCAACTTACGGGGGTAATTTACACCAAGTGGCAAGAGGTAGCAATAGTTCAGGGTGTATAGTATGTAAATAACGCGTGCCTTTGTTGTAAACAAGAGTGTATGTTGTAAACATCCGATGCCGAGGTGCTCGAGCAATCCACAGTTTTTCATTCTCACCCTTTTGGCAAGATGCAGGGTTATTGAGGAAGGGTGCTTGAGCGGAAGCGGTTTTTGAGAGAGGGAGGAGGGCGTGTAGAAAGGGAGTTGAAATAGGGCTCGGTGTTACTCGAGGCAAGCTTGACTGGGTTTCAGGCTGTAACCTCAGCTCTTGAAGGTGCTTCACGGGTGTTTGAAATACGCCACTGAGAATCTTTTGGTTCTGCACTTGACTTCTTGTTTCTGGCAAGTGTTTCCTGTGTGAGTGGCATCACCCACCAGATGTGCGTGGAGAGTGACTGTCGATTAGCGGCAGCGCCAGGATGCTCGGATGACAACTGCGTTGGGCAACAGCGCAAATGCACAGCTGGCACCTAGTGAAGGAGGCTAGTTGGCTTGGAAGCCAAGAGGTCCAGTATTCTTTCCGATTGTGGCAAAATATTCATGTGTACTTGTGAGAAATGCCTTAATCCTGGCAAGTCTTTGTCTTATACCCATGGAAAAATAGAAATATTTTTTGGTTTGAAAGGAAACTTTTGGAATGGGTGTCATTTCTGACTGTCGAGTGCCTGGCAGAAGGGGAACCTCATCTTCTCTTGATTTCACACTGTGCTTGTGGTTACCCACCGCTGGTGCATGGGCTTGGTGGTCATGTATGCAATTCTTAATATTGAGAATAAAAGATGTGAGAAGGGGAAATTGTGAACAAACTGATGGATGCACACGGTTTAGAACTGCTCTTATGGGATGCCAAGAGGTGTAACTGCTTCTAGACATGTGTTTTCCCTATGTTTTAGTAGACTTGAGTTATCTGGAACAAGTTGTAGACTAATTGTATCCTGCAGTTATTTTCGATGTAGCTTTCTGAATCTGATCTCTGTTCCATACAGTAAACACAGGCGTTGGTATGGGAATGCTGTGAGACCATGCTTAAATGTTTGTTTTCCCTTGCACAATTGCTTCTAAGACATTGTACATCTTGTTTTCTGTAAGTGGGTGGGCTGTGTCTTTTGGCAGAGCAAAATAAATGTTGACTTGGGTTAAATGCAGTAAGTTTGCTATTAAAAGATAATGGTGAAAGCAGTATGTAAAGCATAAATGGTGGCACCGTGTGGCTTCTCAGAAGTGGTGCGGTGGTTATGATGGTGGGGTGGTTTTCCTAGAATTCACGGGTTGCATGTGCACTTCCACTGGTCCTCTAAAAAAAAAAAAAAGTTATGTTCCATATCATCATAATCTTAGGGTTTCAGCTCATTTCCCATCCTAACCACCCTTCCACACTTAAAAAAGTGAAACAAACAACAACAGTGTTTTAGACATCTCCTGTTGATAACTTCCAAATGGAAATCAGTTGCAGCTGGTTCTTCGTACTTTAACCCTTTGTCTGCTAGCCTTCCAGGAAATAACTGATGACTGATTGGCCCATTAACCTTTTTTTAAAAAAAAAAAAAAAGTTTGACAGCCTGGACTTGTGTAATGAGGAGGGATTCCTAGTGAAATCAGGTTGATGGCTGAGTTGCTTGCCCCTGAGGATGCAAAATTAGCCCCACGGGACCTCGTCTGCATAGAAACTGGACACAATTAGTGTAATATCTGGTATTATTAATGTAGTTTGGAGTAATTGGGCAGGTTGATTTCGACAGGTTGATGGTGCTAAAATACTATTATAGTGGACCTTTCTATGAATAACTGTTAAACATGGAAAACTGTTTAATAAAATTTTGTGATTGGGCTCACAGGGAATTAAATAGCACAACCTATAATTTTTCCTGAAGAGTAAAACTGAACATTTTCATTCTGCTGCCTTCATTTTCCTGCCCGCGTATACGGCGATTAAGGATGTACGCGTTCACTACTCGTCTTTTGTAGGCATTGCCCTGCGGGTGATGTGGAGCAGGCATTGCTGCTTTGTTCCACAGTTCAGCTTACAAGAAAAAATTCAGTGTATTTAAGCAGAAAATGTATTATTGAAGACATCTTCAACTAGCACAGTTGCTTTTCATCTGAGCTCCTTAGAGAGTAAACATGAAGTGAATATAAGAGAGTGCAAACTTGTGTGTTCTTAATGTCTCATCAGTCGTCGCCGAGTTTTTTGCTAACTTACTGATGAACTGCAAATGTCCTTCCAGCCCAGCCGTACAGCACTCCGCAGCCCTCGGAACCCCTGGCAGGGCCGTACTGGGACGGGCTCACCGGTGTGTAGACTTTGCGGTCCCCAGCCACAAAGGCTGTGCAGAGTCTTCACAGCTTTTGTCACGGTGTCAGCTGGGCACAGCAGAGAGGTCAGGAGATGAAACACGGGAGCCTCTCCTTCGGGAAAAGAAGACTTGGTGTACAAAAGAGCAGCCGCGGGAAATGGCTGGAGATGTTTTTTGAATTGCGTTCCAGGTGCCTGTGAATAGCTGGGTTTGTGTCCTCTGCCATCGGTCTCCTGTAAGCAGAATAACTTTGTGTGGCATTTCTGGAGCAAAAAGCTTGCAGAGGTACTGCTGCGGGGACGGTCTTTCAGCCTTGCTTTTAAATGGCACACTGGCAGAATTGCGGTTTGTTTCTCCTAAACCCTCCTTGGACAAACCATCTTCATGTATGTGATGGGGATGATTGGTAAAGAGGAGACAGGAGGATTCGGCGATGCTGCAGTTTGGGTGTATTTATTTCTTTTAAGGTCGGGAATTGTAATGGTGGAAAGTCACCCAGGACTTAAATGCTGGGATGAACTGGTACAGGATTGGTGTGGAGAGGCTCTTTAAAGATACGCTGTATATACTGGTTAAGTATTTGTCACATACTTGTGGAGCTGTGGATCCCTGCTGTAACAATACGTGTGTCTGGGAACCACCCACACTGAGGCATGTGTATAGAAGGATTTTCTGAACACTTGGTGACCACCATTTTACTGAAGTAAAACCTCAGGAGTAGAGAGTTTTATCACTTAGAAGCCATTGAAAAGCCTAAGAAGGATGGATTTCCTAAATTGAGTTCTACAGGGGGCTACTTCGGGTGGGATTCAGTTTTTCACCTTCTCTTCTTTCGCCATCGTTCGCTGTTTTAATCAACATGGGCATAATTTTGCACATGCCTGCCCGTCCCCACCGACCACATGCCATACCACTTCTGCGTAAGTAGAAGACCATCGATGTGTTGTCCTACCCCGGACAGCGCACAGGACTGAACATAATTTCTTTTGTTATTGAGTGGTTCCTCTTACATCTTTCTCATCAACTCTTGAAAGCTCTGTTTGATAAATGTGGCTTTTTCCATGGTCTAATAATAGCATTTTGGATAATGAGTCTACCTGTTCGTTTTAACACAGTGTTGCTAAAGTGAAAAGTCGTTAGAGCTGCACAGTTGCATCATTCCTCTTATCTTTCCTTTCCCGCTTATCCCACATGCTATTTTTTTTTTTTTTTAAGTAAAACCGCTGCTTCATGCAGCTCGTGCACCTGGAAATAACCTTCACCTCTGTGTTTATTCTCACCTAAAGGTGCATAATAACCTTCTGCTATTTTCTGAGGCATCATTCAAGCGGTGTAGGCACTGGCCTTGCTAGCACGGAGTTTATCAAAGGCAACCAGTTGTCCCACAGGTTGAGGAAATGACTGCCAGTGAGCAGGAGGACTGTCTTTAGAGCCAGTGTGAGATTTGTCACTTGGCTTTGCATGCTTATGGATGACAAGGTAATGCAGAGTTTCATGGCTCTGAATATATAATAAGTCATTAGCAGACAAGCAGATGTAAATGCTCTTTCTAAAGCCCATTACAGCTGGTGCTCACCAGAACTTCGTGCTCTATTATTCTGTTCCTTTCATGCTTCATGCCTGCCCTTCCCAATTCCACTCGCTCTGTTTCAGCTTCCCTGATTTATTATTTTTTTTTAATTTGACTTTGTGTCCCATGTGTGGTTAGGGGATGTGTCCGTTTAGTTCAGTTCTGCTGGTATTTTCTTGTGCTGTGGTGCTCTGGCCTGAATACTTGTCCTTATACTCTACTAGCCCTGAGGATATTTCATTGACCCTCTCTGCTGGCTTCTCAGATCATTTTCTCATCCCCTGTGTCAAACGTGAATGTTGAATAGGTTGGACTGATTTAATCCTGTATTATAACCCAGTCTATTTCTGCTACGGACAAGAAAATGTACGCATTCACTTTTAATTTATCTGTGGATGTACACACATGCTTGAAGGAAGAGGGTAAACTGTCAAATTTTCTGTACCGTGAGATCTTTATAGTCCACTTACCTTTTAAGCTATTTTGTGACACACTTTGTTTTTTACATGATGTAGCTCTTAGCACCTCAGGTTTAAATCTAAATACTGCTTGTTAGCAACTTTGTGTTGGAGAAGGGGATAGACTCCATACCAAACACACAGGGGAACTGGCTATGTACCTGAAACAGTACTTTATTTACGTAACATTTGGAGAGAAAAAGCAGTGGATCCGCCAGTTGGTTTTGGATGCGTTGTGCAGCTGCAGGGCAGTTGGATATTTCTAGCCTTAAACCTCAGATGTGCAGCCCAGCATTTGCTAGGTACGTGGCAGAAATGATTAGCAGATCGGGTTGGTTGAGTCTAGCTATCACCGTCTTTAAAGTTGAAGTTTTTCTTCCTATTATACGTTTGGTTTTGGTTTTTTTTCAGAACAAGAAGAAAACTTTGAGTTCATCATTGTCTCTCTCACCGGCCAGACCTGGCACTTTGAAGCGACCACATATGAAGAAAGAGATGCGTGGGTACAAGCCATAGAGAGCCAGATCTTGGCCAGTTTACAGTCATGTGAGAGCAGCAAGAACAAGGTACAGTACAGGGGGTCATGCTGAAAATCAGGAATGGGTGGATGACCTTTAACAGGAACGCAAAATCAACAGCTCTGAGTTTTAAACCCGTGCTCCTAGGGACATGCAGAAATTTTGATTTTTCTTTTCTTTAATTGCACTGAATTAATTCTTTATGGGTTCGTGCCTTAACTCATGTAACTTAAAGCACATCCAGAAATGGTTCATCAAGGCTTTTTGGGGGAAGATGAACACGGCCTCAGAGGAACAGGCCTCCTACCTTGCAGTGCTTTCACACGATGACAGAAGCAATTTGTTCTCCTTTCCTGTCAAAATAAGTGGTTAAATTTGGAGACTTCTTCAGCCATTACTCCTTTTTGGAAGGGCAGGAGAACTTCTGCTTCTTGAGTTCTTTGTGTTTGCAAACACTGCACAGCTAGAGAGCAAGGTGTGGGGTGGTAGTGGAGGGAGAGAAGAGAGAGAGAAAATCACTGCTTACGTGTTTTCCTGCCTTCTGTGGATTTACACATTCTAATATGTACGTTAAGGGAGTCAAAAGAGGACATTTGTACACTAACGCCTATATAAAAATGCTAATACAAAAGAGGATAAAGAGAGGCTGGTAGATGGCTCAGGTTTTTTTTTCTGTCAAGTATTACTGTGGTCTCTAAACATGTCAGGAGATGTAGCTGGAACAGCAAAGTGCAGGTAGTTGGACAGGTTTAGCAGGCGTCCCGTTGATGGATCAGGAGGACCTATCTCTACGGGGCCATCCTGAAGACCTGGTCCTCATCCTGCTGCTTAAATCACTTCATTGCGAAGAGTCCATCGCTTGCTATAGCTAGCAATTTTCTTCTCAGAGAGCCCACACGACATTTTAGGTGGGTAGAGCTGAGCTCCGTGTACATCATGACAGTCTCTCCAGGTCCAAGCAGAGGTCATTGGCAGGTCATCGTGGAGAGAATGTAAATGGGAGCCGTCTAATTAAATCTGACCTTTTGATGATAAGAAGGTTTCAGGTGCTTTTGCAAACCATCCCTTAGTCTTCATTAGCAGAAGCCACACGTCAATAGAAGAAATTGATTTTATAAAATAATATTCTTATCCAATTTATCTCAAGAAGCAAACCAACACTGTAACTGCTGTTCTTATGAATAGCAGCGTTCATTTTCAAGCTCAGTTTTCCTCTGTGTGGTCTCCCCTGCTTGTTAGAATCCAGGCTGGAGATCCCAAAACGCTGGGAGGTCCTGTGCACGGTGGAGAGAGCCCTGGGAGAAATCCCAAGCTGCCGAGAAACGTGGGAGGAAAGATGAGTCTCTGCCTGGCAGGGGTGGACTTGCAGCACTGGGAGGTGCCAAAGGATCACTGTTTCTTGAGAGGCAAACCGAGGACTTGAGGTTCCTTGGTGACATTCTTTCAGCCTTCGTCTAAGCTTTGGGTTTTGCCGTTCATTCAGCTGACAGTTGTATCGTCTAATTTTACTGGGTTCTTATTTGTTGCCTTTGCATTTCTTTAAATCTGCGCAGTCCCGCCTGACGAGTCAGAACGAGGCCGTGGCCCTTCAGTCCATAAGGAACATCAGAGGCAACTCCCACTGCGTGGACTGTGAAGCACAGAGTAAGTACGGCCCCTGACCTCTTCTCCCTGGCCAAGACTTAGGTGAATGCCCATCATGGGATTTGTCACTTTTGTTGTTACGTTCCATATGTTGTTTGCACATTTCTTCTTCGTTACAGAGTTTGCTTCATCAGACTTAACTTGATGTTAATTTATACTTAATATAGGCTGCATCACAGCATCCTAATTCTTTCCTCTTGTTGTTTCGCATGCCACTTTAAATGTCAGCATTTCTTTACTTTCCTTTGAAAAAAAAGGAAAAGAAGTTTGCTCTTTCAGATAAGTTGCTGACATTTTCCTCCTGTTTTACGTGGGGAGAGTGCATGTGCCGTGGTAATATTTTTCAAAGAGGTAGAGCTTGATTGGTGTTTTTTGGGTTTGTTTTTTTTCGGGTTACTTGTCAGAAGAAACCAAAGTCATCGCTCATTATATCTGGATACTAGAAAACTGATTTGGGATTTTTTTTTTGTCCCCTTTGTGTTTCTTTCCTTTTTTTTATTTTTTAAAACGTATACGTAATGTTCAGAAAAGTGTTCTCAAGAATACTTTGAGCTGCCGTTCACCTCACTAACCCCGTCTGAGGTCATTATTTTGGTGCTCTTTAGTTCCAGGGGTTTGCAACAAAGCCACAAAAAGGAAGTTCTCTTGCTCTAAAGCAATTAGTTGCAGGAGTAGAAGGATTGAGAACTTGTGCGTTTGTATTTCTTTGATATTTGAAAGTCAGAACTTTTCTTGTGATTTTTACATGTGCTTAAAATGGAAAAAATATTCATTTATTTTTCTCTGGGTACAAATTTCACTGGGGCTTTGCAGAGAGTGAAATAATAGCAACATTGGTTGCTCTCTCCAGAGTCCACGCTGTGCCCAAGGTGTGTTTCTCTCTCCAGCCATGCACGTACCCCAGTATTTACGCAGCCAAGCTAGATGTTTAATCAGGAAAATGACTGTGCAACAAAGCAGCACTTTTTTTTCTTTTTTCTTTTTTTTTTTCCTCCACTGCAGCCAGGTTGGTTTTCATCCAGATTGCTTCATGGGTCAAGCTGGCCATGCATGCGCGGTGCCAGCAGAAGGGACATGCCAAGAACATGTTGCTCGGAGAGGGCAGGGTGGGACCACCCTTTTTGGCAACACTCAATGCCTGGTTGTCTAGCTTCTGGGGAGGGAGATTTTGGAATCTCAACTGAAGCCTCTTAATTGTTTGTATTCTTGGAGATGATTTATACCCTCTTTGACTCCTCTTGCCATTTGGCCTTCCTAGTTTGCAGGCCACCGTCTTTCCTTCTGAAAAATTTGAGATACATCCCAAGAGATGTATCTTAAAACGTGAAGATGCACGTTAAGTGAACCTCAGCCTGCTGCTTTTTCTGCCAGGCTCTGCTTTATTTCCTTCTCACTCCTTCTGCCTTGCCTGGGCACATCCTTACCCCTGGAGCATTTAGCATCACAAACACTAGAGTTCTTGTGGAAAGCTCCCATGGTTTGCATCTTCACAAAGCCAGATGTTGGGGAGCAAAGGAACATGAGATGTTGCTGTCCCTTAGCTCCATTCAAGAGCCATCAATCTTCCACTTCATAAGTCTCATTCTTCCTCTTTCTAGAGCTCTTTGGCTTTTTAGCACTTCATCCCGGCGCTTTGTTTCCCCGGGGAATTTCTGCCGTGCAGTATGTCAACCAGCAGCAGTAGTAGGGAGTGGTTCATCACTCATTTTCTAGTCCAGCAGAGTCTATATTTCTGTTTGCAAGCCCAACACTGAAGTGATAATTTCAGTGGCCCTGGGGAACCTATCAGGCCAATCACAAGATTCAATTTTATGTTCAGAATAGGAAAAAAAAATAAATTTAAAGAATAGAAGAGATGTAAACTTCCCTGTCTTCTGCTGCAACTCTGCATGGTGCCTTCACCCCCTGCTTCTTGTCCTTTCCCTGGCTCTTCTGCTCCTCCCTGCTCCTCCTCTGCTCAGCCCAGCGCTGTCTTGTACGTGCTGAACTCACCGGGATTTAGCGTGGCAAAGCCGTTCATCAGCAACCTTGTGTCCAAAGGGATGAAGGAGACGGTGGGGAGGGCTTATTCTCCTAAAAGAGCTTCAAATGATGGGTCTGATGGAGGTGCAAGTCAAAGTGGGGAGGAGGTTCTTAGAGAACGAGAGAACTTAAATACCTTGAAGAATACAGACAGCTGAAAATTGTCAGCTGAGAATATTCATCAATGTCAAAAAAGCTCAGATTTTGTTTGACAATTTGTAAGTAAAACAAAGGGAAATAGCTTTAGAGCACCTCTAGCTGCATTGAATGAGCTTTTTCCTTCTTTTATGGTCAAATCTGGATTTATGCATCCTGGAGAAAAGCCTGCGCCTGGTTGTAAGCGTTCTGAGCATCCTCCAATTCAGAATTACTGGTAGCGTCAGCAGGAGAAGTGAGCCCATTTTTTATCATCTAAAAAAAAAAAGAAAACGCTGGCTTGCATAGTTATGGCTTGCTAACCACATATGGTTCTTTTCAGTATAAATCAGTGGTAACAAATTTCAGCATGAGATGTAAAATGTGCTCAACTGCATGTGGGAGGAGGAGGACGCAGGTAGGAACAAGGGACATCCCTGAGCGTGTAGCTGACAACAGCTTGCCTTTGTTCTTGGCGGGCAGTGACTTACCATCTCACGTACCTCCTTTGGAGGACAATTTTTCACATGCACACCCTGAAACAGAAGTCATAAGTGACATCACGTTGATTTTTTCCCAGAATCCATCAAATTATGCCACTTGTCCAGGCTCCTCGTCAGAGCCCTGCCTTGCTCTGCGTTGGCCAGTTGTAACCAGATCAACACATCGGGTTTTTCATGGGGTGTCCATAATGGGTTCAGCGCTTGTCTTTCCTAGTTTGCCACCTTCGAACTCAGCTGTGTGTTATCAGATTATTGAAATTTAAAATACCAGCTTGACAACATTTCGTGTAACTTCTGGTTATCGCTTGGTGGACTACTTCCATCTTACCAGTGCTGTCCATTTGAAATAGGAGAATAGTTTAAAAATTTATTCAGTAAAAGATACAGTAGATGTACCTCAAGTACACCGAGGTATTTGGGAGGTCCTTAACATCAGTTCTGTTAGAATAATCGGAGAAATATTAATCATAACTTTTTCCTCTTGTTTCGTTGCGAGTTTGTGCCCCTTTGAGCTTGTTGCACTTTGTGGTTTTGGGGTTTTTTTCTGTTTTTGAAGATGAAAGGTCAGGGACAGAGACTTTGTTCCTGGGCACAGGTTGTAAATTTTAAATGAATATCTGCGGTGTTCAAGCTTTTACCAACAAATTAGTATTTCGGGGTTTTTTAGTGTCTTTGCTGCTGGTTCCTCCACTGGGAAGACACTGAAACTGGTGGAGGTGACCTGAAGAAACATGCAGGAAAGGAGTTTGTCGTGGTTGTCTTACCAAGGATGTGGAAAGCGGGGCAGGAGCTTTGTCTCACCTTACTTCTTTGAGATCTGCAATGCTGTATATTCCTAATATAAGACTTGGTATGGGCAAGACCTTTTTAAACAGAAGATCTGTTTTTCTGCTCAGGTAAAATGAGATGGAGGGAGTTTTTCTTGTTGGGGATGTTTTTAGATTTCTAAGGACTGGCTGAAAAATGTCAATCTGTGCCTTCAGTGAAATGTGGGACTTTGCAATTAAAATTATCTGCTCTCCTTTCAGATTTTTTTTTTTTTTTGTCCAAACATGACATGACAAAGAACTAGGGAACATTTTGTTTCCACATATTTTAGCTGGCAAAAATCACTTTTTGATTTTGGGTTACATAAAGTAGAAATGAGCCTTTAGATTAAATTTCCCCATGTGGAAAGGGGACACTGGAAATTTCTTTTTCTATCAGCTCTGAGTTTTATTTGGATTTGTATAAAAATTGCCTATCCTCTCAATTAATCACCATTTTCCTGCTTGGCATTTGTGATATCGTACGAGTTCTTTGGGAGGCCCAGGGTAAGGTGAGAAGAAAAGATCTGACAGCAGGGGGGAGGGAAAAAAAAACCCCACCAAAAATTCCTCCCATGTGTCTTTCATTGCTTTTGTTAAAATGAATTGTTGGAGAGAGGGAGTTTCGTATGAATCTAGATGTAAATAACACGGGACAATGACCAAAAAGTGAATCGTCTTGGGAAATGTCGCAGCCTGATCGTCTGTGGGGTTATTTTTGTGTGTGTTTGTCGGTGGAATCCTTCTGGCTCATGCAATAAAACTGGGGCTGTTCAAAGTATCACATTTTCATCTTGGTCCTTATCTCCCTGATCTTGGAGATGAAAACGTACCCCATAGTGCGTTAGATGTGAGCGCCATATGTAGGTGATGATATAGATGGTTATTAAGGGAGTTGATATAGTTAGCAACAGAGACATTGTATCTAGTCACTTTTTTTTTTCCTCCTTTTTCCCTTGTAATTGGCTACGAGTGGCTCTAGATTCCCAGGGAGGGGCTTTCTCCACGGCTTCATCATCAGCTGCCTACCGCTCTGTTTATATTTTCTTTGTTTTTTCTTTTCTCTTGAATTCATATTTTTCTTTTGACTGGAGGTGGATTGATAACATCTTTTGAGACCCCCCCAAACACACACACAATTATTTTTACTCCGTGAAGTTTTCTCAGGAGGGTTGGTATCTCCACAGGGCAGAACTGACCCTACTGGAAGACCTCCCAACTGTGCTTTTGGACAGGACACCTGCATTTTTTTTCCCTCATAGCTAAAAATCTTTATCTACAATCATTAACTAGGAAGTTTTGTCAGGTGTTTCGTTGTACTAATTGCTTGTGTCTCTTTTCCCGTAGACCCCGACTGGGCCAGCCTGAACCTGGGAGCCCTCATCTGCATTGAATGCTCAGGAATACACCGGAACCTTGGCACGCACCTCTCCCGCGTCCGCTCACTCGACCTGGATGACTGGCCGATAGAGCTCATCAAGGTGATGTCTGCCATCGGGAACGAGTTGGCCAACAGTGTCTGGGAGGAGAGCAGCCAGGGCCACATGAAACCCTCGCCAGACTCCACAAGGTAGGCTCTGCTCCGTCACACCGCAGCATGCAGGTCGTACATGGCCAAGGCTGTAGGCTATGAGCACATCCATCCTCATTTTGGCATTGCGGTCAGAGGTCATAGGGTGCTACCACATTTTACAATGTGGACTTTTAAAATTATGGAGTATGCCTTGTAAAAATCATTTGGGGTGTGTGTATATATATATATATATCTTCACTGCATGCCCAGGAAGAACATGTGTCAAAGGGGAGGGGGTGTCAGAAGTTGAGTGACCCTGTTACTTTTTCGCTCTTGTGAAGGTTTTCCTCAGCAGCGCTACAATTTTTTTGTGTTCAATCGACTGACTGACAAAACAGCAGGAGTTGGAAACCTCCCGCCTGGTTGTTCCTCAATCCAAATGATCCTGTAATGCATTCCTTTGTTTCGGTTGGCCACAAAGTTCCTGGCTCTTAGACCGTCCGTTTGTGATTAATCATCTGCTCTCGGTAGGTCAGGCTCACCCAGGAGTTGGTACCTGGCTGGCAGGTCTTTGGGTTCTCGTCACAGATGTTGAAAGTCCTGCTCACTGGGGACTTGCTTACATTTTTTAAGTGATACATGTAAGTTGATGGGGGTGTGTGTTTCCTATGAGAATGGGATTTCACGCACCCGTCATAGCTCAACAGAGTGAAAAATCTTTCTGAGGTGCATTGTCCTACCCCAAGCATAAGGGTTTTTATGCTTTATTTATCTGCCCAGTGTCAAAGAAAGATGTTTTGAAAACACTTTCCTGATTTTAATAGCTCTGAGATGTAAGTGCTTCTGGTGATAACAAACATGTTGGCCTGGGGGGAGCAGAGTGACCTGGGGCAGACTGCAGTGCAGCAGGGAGGTTCAGGCAGGAGAAGGACCTTCTGGGCTACCTTGCCCAGCTGGGTCAGTCTTTGAAGTCATCCTCAGAAGCGCGTTATAATTGTCTCAGGGCGAGCTCCAGGGGGGAGCCTGCATCCCAGCGCCGGTCGGTCCCCAGGCAGCAAATGGCACGACAGAGGTTCAGCTCTTCATGTTTGCTTCCTGCATAGGAGAGAGGTCAGAGGGAATTACGTTCTGGTTTTGTTCATGTGTAGCTCTGGGTCTGGCTTTTTCCAGTACCGGATCAGGTGAAATTATAACCTGGGAGCGTATACCTGGGCCACCTCCTGCGGCGTAGAAGTAGGTTTGTACTGTTGTCTGTTGTAAAGTCAACTGTTTCTTATTACATTATTTCGTTAGCCCTGAAAAATGAATTTGTGGTGCCACCTTTGGTTCATCTTCGAGAATGAAGCCAGTACATTAATCAGGCTACTTAGATGAATGATTATGCATGTAAAAATGCTCAGGGAAACCCGCACAGGGATTTTATTCATACGTAAACTGTATGTCTGCTGTATACATGTATATTATTAGGCAGTGAATGTAATGATTTTGTCAGGTGGATTGAAATCAGCTTATTGCTGCCTTTCAGTCATTAGTGTTACTTTAATCCAGAGATCCTGTATCGTTGCACCCAGCAAATATATGTTTCTCCTTCCTACTGAGGTGAGCTGGAGGGATGCCTCAGTTCTAAATACTTGTGAAAGAAAAAGGCATACACTCAACTGGATTTTCTTTTTAATTTAGTATACATATGGTAAAGATATTATAATGAAAAATCTAAAATACATGTGACCGATGAAAAGAGAGCCATCCATTTGAATTAAATTATTCAGGTTCTTATGTTTGAAAGTGAGTTTTACTGACAGAAAATCAACTTTGTTCTCTTTGTATTTCATGCTCAGAGCTTATTTGAGTTGTTCTTTGTTTTTATATTCTGCTGTTTATGTTTGTCAGTGGCATAATTGCACTTTTTTCCTGGACTGTAACCTTTTTCAACAGAAGGTGTAAAGATTCATTTTAGAAATCTGCATTCCCATCTGTGTGACCAAGTGCACGCTTACGTGATGGAAGACCTGTTACAATAAAATAGAATTAAGATGATGTGAAAATTTCCCCACAAAGCAATTGTAATCTTGCTTTGCTACTCCCATTTTTTTCCCCGCTGTTTGCAGCAGGGACTGAAGTGATATTTTGCACATAAATATCTGCAAGGTCTGCTTTTTCGAAGCGTGTGGCTCCTTCTGTGCCTTACTTTGGTTTCTCCTAGCATCATCATCCTTCTGTCCAAGATGTGGCAAGTAAATAAGTTCGGGTTCTTTAGTCAGAATTTGTGCATTCCATTTTCTCGCCGCTCTTTGCGTGAGGAACCGTGTCAGAAGCAGCTACAAGGGACCTGAAGCGGGGTTAAACAAACCCCTCTGTTGTTGTTGAGGGTCTGGAGGGGGAAGAGGCTACTGAAGGTGATGGACTGGGTGAGGAGGTGAGGAACTAAGTAGAAATATGACTGAAGAGCTGAAATTTGGAGTTCTGGTGAGGGATGGAGTGAGTCCAAGGATCTTTGGAGATCAAGGAGGAAAGAAACATTCAGCAAAGCTTCTTCTGAAGGGGAAGAGAGCTGATGGCCAGTGTTGGGGGTTGTTCCTGCCCATGCTCGTGGGCTCTGGGGTCAGCTGGAGTCTGAGCTGAGGTTCATGCACTCAGCATGCTTCTGCTTCAGTGAGTTCTCTTCTCCCCAAAGCCCCATCAGGTGGGAGAGGGGAGAACTCCCTTGTTTTCCTCCAGGTGTCTCCTGGACTCATTCATATCCCCATTCCCTGCTGCAACCCCACGTGCCACATCCAGGCTGCCCAGAGAAGCTGTGGATGCCCCATCCCTGGAGGGGTTCAAGGCCAGGCTGGATGAGGCTTTGAGCAACCTGGGCTGGTGGGAGGTGTCCCTGCCCATGGCAGGGGGGTTGGAACTGGATGGGCTTTAAGGTCCCTTCCAACCCAAACCACTCTGTGATTCTATGAAGATTTCTTAACCATTCCCCCAGCTGATTCAGAGGCTTAGCACAAAGCATCAGTAGAGACATTGGACAAACACAATGTTCTGACGTGTTTCTTTATGATGGGCATGTCTCTTAACTCTGCTGTCTCCACTGTACCCCCTACCCCAAAGCAGCAAAAGTCAGCACCACAATGGACCTTCTGGTAATAGACGCTTGTAAAGACGATCAGCTGTACATGGGTTTCACCCGTTCATGTTGTGTCTCTATTGGAGACGAAGCCATCAGTGGAAACCCACAGGCTTTCTAGGGGAAAAAAAAAAGGTTATTTGCTGCTCTACAAATATGTGTTGGGTTGGGAAGCTTGAGGAGCATTCACATGCTGGACTAAAAAGAATGGGGAAGTCTTGATATGGTCTCAGAAGCAGTTCCTTCAGCTTGGAAGAGGTCAGCAGGGATCAGAGTCATTGGGGTGGCATCCCATGTGTGTCTGTCAAGTGGAGGGAAGGGTGGGGAGACCCAGGGAGACAGCTGTTTTGGTGGAGTTGTTGCCAAATGGCTACTGTAGGCCACAGTGGAATTAAAGTCTTACTCAGGAAAGTGTCACCAATATTTGTAAAAATAGAGATATGCCAGGCTTTGAGTATGTCTTGCATTTCTAATTTCATACGCTCAAAAATAAACATTATCAAACTTAAACCACATCAAACATACCATTCCTCCGTCCTGACCTCGCCCACCCAAATTCACTTCACTCTTCCAACCTAAAAATGTATTTTGAAAGGCTCTCGGATCGGAGGGGTAAACTTAGAGCGTAAGAGTTTTGTAGCAAAAGGCATCA